GGAGAGTTTAAAGATGATAATGCTAATGTGCACTGATCAAAGTAGAATTTGATCATTTGATCAAACCCATATTAAAGAGCTGGTGTTTGAATACATTGAACTAGTATATAAAAAAAATGACATAACACTCGTATTTAGCTAAGAGTCAGGCATCGTACTTGAGAATAACCTGAAAATTATTGAGGTTATTAGCAATGATTTAAAAAAAAATCTACAAAAAATATTAAATGCTTTTCAGATATTTGTGCAGGTCAATATAAGAATTACAAAAGTATTTTAAAGATTTATTTTCATCTTAAAGATAGTCTTTTTGATAAATGGAACTTTTTTTTCAAACTAGGTTAGCATTTTTGTAATGGTATAAGTGATACTGTAAAACATTTAGCAATACTAGAAAGCTTGCTAAGAGATATGTGTGAGCATATTTTATGTCCACAAGCAAAGAAAAAATGTTGCAATGAAAACATTGAAGGATTACATTTCATTTATATATCATCAGAAGGTTTAAACTTTTATGATTATGCTTTAATTTGTGACTTTGGAAACATCCAGATAACAACTGTAAACTTAGTACCCGGTGATTAAGACTGTGTTTCCTATGAGCAAAGTGGTATATGGGAGTCGTTGAAGACATTAATCAAAAAGAAAAAGATGTGCTTGTCAAATTTACGTGTCAAAATGGTCCTGAACAACCGTTTTAATGACCAACATTAGATAGCCAATGCTGGATTTCAGATGTTAACATCATTTGCAAAGTTGAAGTAGCAACTTCAAAAACATAACTTTGCTACTATTTAACCAAAGAAGACTTTAAAAAAGTTGTTTTTCTATGGGAAAAGATATTTTTGTATTTAAACTAATTCCAAGTTTGTTAAGCCTGATATTTTTAATCTTTTGTTTTTTGTACAATTTATAAATAATGTAATTGAAAAGCATATATAAAATAAATTATTTATTTTTCAAACCAATTCTTAAATGTTGTTTTTGTCATTTGAATATTTTTATTAAATTGTGTTTCTTTTATTTTAAAAAACAATTCTTAAATCTTATTCTTTTAAAAACTATAAATTTTAAACGATATATATATATATATATATATATATATATATATATATATATATATATATATATATATATATATATATATATATATATATATATATATATATATATATATTTAGATATATGGCGATATATTTACGTTTTCTTTTATAATGTAAATCAGAGATATATACATTGAAACTATATTTTATTCTTAAACTATATTTTGTCTAGTAATGACGCGTTTTTTGGGGCTTAATGATAAGACTAAATTTGCCTTCTTCTAGCCCCGGTCATGTAAATATTTTTTTTATAAGTTACGGCTGTAAATTTTTTTTATTGGCAAAAATTGTAAAAAAAAAAAAAATTGAGTATTTTTTTTTGGAAAAGGTTTTTTATACTTTTTATTATTTTTGTAAATAACAAATATAAATAAAAAAGTCACTGAACTATAAATTTCTAATTTGATTGATTGATAAAAGGTTGGGACAGATTGAGTGTCTGATTTTTAAATTATCACAGGGTTTTTTGTGCCCATACCAATCCTCACCAACTCCTTAAGTAAACGTAAGGCAAAAAAAAATTGGATTATTAAGTCACGGCCGACAACAAGGGCTCAAAGTGTAAGGACACAATTGTCAAGTTCATTAGAAAAAAAGGTGTCTGGAGAGAAGCGGGTCTTCTTACTTTTCCACTCCCCCACCACTTGTTGTCGGCTTTTAAAGTTGATATACATCTTCTTTTTAAAAAATTAAAAAAAAAAAAATTTTTCTTGAATGAAAAGATTTTTTTTATGTGCTTATTATATTTATATAACTATATTTGTCAATGTTCTTCTTTATTGTTATTATTAAGTGCATGTTATAGGTCTTAAAATAGACTACATTGCCTTATTTTGAGAGATCTTAAAATAAACTAGATTGCCTTGCTTTTTTACATATCTTCAAATAAACTTGATTGCCTTGTTTTAAGAGATACTAAAGTTTCAGCATCGCAGCACCAAAAGCACCATATAAGAGTAATTGTAAACATTTTTGGCACTTTTTTCCCCTTTTTTTAACAAAAATCAAATAAACTTTAAATTGCTGTAAATCTTAAACGGATAAGAATTTAAAAAATGCTTAAAAAAATTTTTCCCAAGTTATGTCAAAATTTGTGCCAAATTTCAGCAAATTTGGAGATGTAGATAATTTGGGTTTTTTTGGTGTTTTTTTTTTAAAATTTTACTTATAAGAAGTTTTAAAATTTTTTTTATTTTAGAAATTACATAGTGTGTTTTAGTAGTGTTAGAATATTTTGTATTATTCAAATAGTTAGATAGATGCTATAAATAAATAGATGCTAAAGCATCTATTTTTGTTTATAAACACAATTTGGTGTTTATATATAAACACAGTTTGGTGTATAAAGCAACCTAATTATCTCTGTATCAGAAAAAAAAAACTAGCTTTTCTCTCTTTCATATAAAAAAGACATAAATTCATCTTCCATTAACGATGCTAAAAACGCTCCCTAATAAAAATAAAATTAAATGAAATTTTTTTTATAGTTTTTACTAGTTTTGTTTATAAAAATTATAAACAAAACTACTGAAGATTATTTAGAATATTTCAGATATTTTATTTTATTCTAAATATGTTTATTGCTTAACGTCTTGATTAAACGAGATGTTTTTGATTCTTTTGAAGTATTTATTCATATTCTTTATTGAAACTTTTATTCGTATGAAAACTTATTCTGCTTTACCGAGTTTAAGGTGATTGGTTTTTTATCCACACGAACAAAGACAATCAGGCTAACAAAATTAAAAATAAAATCAACTTTGTAAACAACGTTTAGTTATTTTTAAATTTAAATTCAAAGTATTTAATATCTAAAAATTACCTATATTAAACCGAACGAGATGAGAGATCAGTTTTTCTTTTCACAAGTAAAAAGGTATAGAAAGATATATTTGTAACACTTTTTTTCAACACTCGAACTTTTTTGCAGCGTGCGTCTTTAACTTTAAATTAAAAAAAGATATTACGTATTTAGTATATTTGAACAAAACTTTGTTTACTTAGATGTTTATGTTTGATGGATTAGCAAAATATGTTTTCATAAAGCAAAGTTGGTTATTTAAAAATTAATGCTAAAAAACATACCGAAATATGATATTTTATTTAAAAGCTGTAAAAACCACATTGTCAAATAATAATAAAGTGTAAATGATTTACTATGCTATTAGGGGGGTGGGGGAACCAAAATTTACTGTTTTTAGATTTTGTGTGGTTTAACAATTTTTTTCTTTACTATTTTTTTATGCTGATTTTAAATAACTTAGTTATTTTTTTCATTATAAATATTTTCTATTTCAATTTCAATTAAAATGGTTATTTTGACTAAACAATCAATTTTTAATTAAACGAAATTATTATTATAATAATAATGATATTATAATAATTTGATATATCAAATAACAATTTGATATGTCAAACAACAATTTGATATATCAAATAACAATTTGATATATCAAATCACAATTTGATATATCAAATAACAATTTGATATATCAAATAACAATTTGATATATCAAATAATAATTTGATATATCATATAATAATTTGATATATCAAATAATAATTTGATTTATCAAATAATAATTTGATATATCAAATAATAATTTGATATATCAAATAATAATTTGATATATCAAATAACAATTTGATATATCAAATAATAATTTGATATATCGAATAATAATTTGATAATCATTATGTGTTGTTATAAACACAACAAAAAATCAGGTATTTTACATGAAATTACTCCATGTAAGAAACAACTTATAACAATTACTAGTGAAAATGGAAAATAACGTCATTGCAATCATGGTACAGTGATTTCAGTACAGAGTAAATTTCTTAGTTAAATTGATCTTTCACGGTGCTTTGGGATGCTTAGTTCTTCTAGGAGCACCTTAATAACTAAAAAAAAGTCATTGTAGATGATTGTGGATTGTTGTGAGGACTTTTCAAGTTAAGCAGAAACTTTAAATTAAGCTTATTCTTCTTTAGACATAAGATGTCGTTCTTTTGTATTTTATCAATAATTTTCATCTAAATAAAGTCGATATTTTTTGCAATGACTTACTATTTTTTTATCATTGCTAAAATAAACATCCATTTATCAATCGTTTTTTGACATTTAACATATTTTTCTGTTTTTTAATATATTTATTGACATCTGATTAGCAAGTAAATGGGCTGCCTTGTAATTTCAAACAAGCTAAGACGTAATATTTCATGGACGCCAAATGTAAAGCTTATATTAGGCTTTTTTTGCTTACCCGCTCTTTCTCAGTTGTTTTTTTTTGTCACTGGCTCCAACTGTATTTTATATTTTTAAACTTTTTAACAATGAGACACATTTCCCAAAACATTTCTAAATTACCTAAATCTTGATTTCACAACCCAGACAGCCTCCCGCTAGCGGCCCAATGCTAACCCAGTTCCGCTTGCGACTACGGCGCGATAACGGCTGTCGATCACGGGCCTGCATCGAAACGGCTTTTTGGCCAGCACTGGGCCACTGCCATGGGCCAGCATTGGCCCGAAATTGTTCACCAGCACTGGCTTGCGATCGTTTGCCAGCACTAACCCGGGATCATTGGCCAGCACTGGCCCCTGATCGCTTACCAGCACTGGATTATTATCTATTACCAGTACTGATCCGTGATCATTTTCCAACATTTATTCGTGGTCACGTGTCATTACTAAAGCGTTAACTTTTACTAATACATTAAGACATAATTATTAGCTGTTTCTGTACAAATGTATTATCCCGCATGAATCAAACAAATAACTACTTTTCGAAATTTATTCCAACTTATATCGAAAAAAATAAAGAAGTATTTTCGAAATTTATTCCCAACCAAAAGTGAGTTAAAAAATAATGAAATAAAAAATAAAAAAATGTTGTTAAAAGTTCAAATTGTTATTTATGCAAATAACTTTTTATACAAAGAACGTTCCTCTCGAGCTATTCGTCCGCCATTTCGATCCCCAAAAAGCAAAAAATATCTCTTCAGTTAATGTTTAAACTCTTCTCTTGATGGTCCTGAAGTTAAAGCTTTTATTTTCACAGCTTCTAAATAACATAAAGTTAAACTATGAGTGAAAAATAGTAAACAATTAAACTAAATAGTATGATTAAAATGTACATTACACTCACATAAATAAACGTTAGGATATTTAAAAAAACATCTCTTTTTTAAAAAATTATGCACCTCAACCCTATTGTATTTAATAAAATAACACTAGATATAAAATTTAAAACAATATTTAAACATAAGACAAGTTCATATTATTATCGAAAAAAAAATTATATAAAAATAACTCCAAGAGTATATTGCAAGATTACTATTAACCAATGCAATAAGCGTTTTTTTGCTCACATTTGCAAGAAACAATCTTGCAGATAAACATCCATTGGATGTTTATCTTAAGACCCCAAAAACTAAAATAACAAAAAATTAACAATAATGAAACAGTTAAATTCAGTTTACTAATGCTTACTATGTGCATCAATTTTAGCATTAGATGCAACTGATGATACATTACTGATTTAGGGAACTATGAGAGCTTTAATTCATCCAGCAACTGATCAGCACGCAACTAAGTTGATATCATCACCAAGGCAACAACAAAAAAGATTTTCATTTTTCTTCAATCAAATTTTTTAGAATTAAAGCGCTAAAAATAAATTAAGAAGTTGTCTCATTATAAAGCACTTTTTAAAATAAATTCTTCATTAAAAAAGAAACAACTTTTTAGTCAATAAAATACAATACCATATAAGTGGATGGGTCTCCATCCTATCAGTTGTCTAACTCATTTCTTTCGAAAAAATGTCCATCAATTTAACTTGATAAATTTTGATGCATATTTGTGTCCTATACATAAACTAACTAAAAGATTGTTTCAGAACATATTGGAATTCAGTTACAAAAATAAAAAAGTATAATCAAATGAAAAAAGTATAAAAATACATCCTTTTCTAAAACTTCAGAAGCAGAGCCTTGTTTTTCTAAAACTTCAGAAGCAGAGCCTTGTTTTTCTAAAACTTCAGAAGCAGAGCCTTGTTTTTAAAAGTTATTTAATTTGAAATAATCTGAAGAAGTCAAATTTTCAATACATAAAAATTTTAAAGGAGGAATAGGAAGGGCTGGAGCAAGTGTCTTTTTTTATTATTTACGACTTTCGTTTTTTTTCAGTAATTATGGAGCGTCAGTTTCTGAACTTAAATATACAAATTTGTGATAATATACATTTCTATAAAATACTAAAAGTGAACCAACATCATGATATGACAATCACCATCTAGATTACATATACTCATCATTATCACGTATATCATATCATCATCGCAATCATCATGATCATCACCTGGTAGGACAAAGACTTTTCTGAAATCTGTTTACATCTAAATTTGTCAGGGTTCTACTGTCGTTGATTGAAAAAAAGTCTGAATAAACGTTTGCCATAAATAATTTTTCTCTTGTTTAGTCATATGTAACTAAAAAAAATCAAAATAGCAAAAAAAATGTAAGAAAAATACTTCAAAATAAAAAACAAACAAAAAAATTATATACTATAGAATAAATATATACTTGTAAAAATATATATAAAACAACTAACCAGAGATATACAAAATATTTTATCATAATCAATCTAATCATTCATATAATCTTTACATTTTTTAATAGTAAATGTGGTGAGTCTTAAAAGACCATCCATAAATACCATTTGTTATCTAACTAAAAAAAATTAAAAAAAAAATCAAACAAATTAACAAAAGAAAAAAAAAAACAAGAAAAAAAAAGAAAGTTAAAAGAAAAAATACATTCGAAAGTGGAAAGTAATTAAAAAGGAATTAGAATAAAATATAAAAACTGCTCCATTTTGTAAGAAAGAAAAAAAAATTTTAAATTTTATTGTTTAAGAGTGACGATATGTGTTTCCTTGATATGATTTACTTTCTTATTTTAATAGTCATTTATTATAAAAACTCTATACTTTTAATTGAATAATTTTTGTTTTATTTATTTATTGTTATTTTTTAATTTTGCTTTTATCGTTTTTATTATGATTATTAATACTAAGATTATTATTTTTATTAAGTTATTGTTACTTTTTTTTGTAGTAATTGTTTTAGTTACATGGTAGGTTGTTACGTTTTGTCAGTACACAACTGTTTGTAACTTTCCTGTCTGTGCATTATATTCAATTGTTGTTTTAAAATTGATAATGGTTTATTACTTTATTATTATCTTATTGTTCTTATATCTTTTAGTTTATCATCATTATAATTATTATTATTTGTATTATTCTTATAATTATTTGTATTATCAATCCTATTTCATGGTATTTACTTAAGATTAGCTTTTAACAATTTGTAAATGACTTCGATTGTAAGATCTTTTATCTAAAAATACATTGATTAATTGATATCCATTTTACATGAAAAACAACCACTGAATCTTTTTTTATCAATAAATTTGACAATATGATAAAACTTATATATTGTTCTCAAAGAAATAAAATATATGCTAAATGTAGTAATAAATTATATAAATAGGAATTATAGGCATTAGGTGTAATTACAATTGATCATTTTGTTATATTTGATAATCGAACAAAAAAATTAAATTTGAAAAATGTTAAATTAGAGAGCACTAAAAAATACTAAAAGTATTTCAGAAAATAAAATGCAAATAAATGATATTTTTTTTTTTATATAATACATTACATGACAATCATCGAAAGCCATATTGGTGATGTTACTTATATGATCAAAGTCATTTTTTTAAATTATTATTATCTATGGAATGTATTATTACAAACAATATTAATATAATAATGTTATTATTAAAAGAAACACTTGAGACACAACATAATAAATAATAAAATAAATAATAAAGCACTTTTGTTATCAAGAACAAAAATAAACAATGTACAAACTTCAACAAACTATGACAAGTGATGCAGGATACACTGGAGAAAGTTGTCATTGAAAATTGCAACATGTTCAACTTTTTCTACATTTTATTCTAAATATTCCTAACAAACTTGAATCATAAGGATAAGTAAGAAAATTTGTATCGTCAAAAATTACTAGAACACAATATAAGTAGTCTCGTCAAAAATATAAATACTTTTCACTAAACAAATTTTGATGTCTAACACATATATTGCCACATGCTGCTTGAAGATAAAGATTTAGTAAGTAAACATCATTATATGATATACACTATACACATATACAATATACACATATACTTATACATATATAATATATTTAATATAGTATAAATATTACAATAATATTTTTGTGAAGGGACAATGTAAATAGTACAAGACTAATTTAAACCAGAGACCTTTTAATATATATATATATATATATATATATATATATATATATATATATATATATATATATATATATATATATATATATATATATATATATATATATATATATATATATATATATATGTATATATATATATATATATATATATATATATATATATATATATATATATATATATATATATATATATATATATATATATATATATATATATGTATATATATAAATATATATAAATAAATATATATATATATATATATATATATATATATATATATATATATATATATATATATATATATATATATATATATATATATATATATCGATTGCAAACAATAACTCACCGCGAACGGACGTGTTTTAAAATATAAAAAAATTTCTAAAGGATTATCATTTACTCAAATTAAAGAATTACTTAAAGTGCACGAGAACACAATATTAAAAATCTTTGGCGAAAAAGTTAACGGGATAGAGGAAAAAATGGAAATACTTAAAAGCAAAATTTAATTTTAAAAAAGGAAATAGCAGATATCAAAAATGCAATGACTTTTCAAAATGAAATTTATGAAAAAGAGACAAAAGAATTATACGACTTTAAAAAAAAAATTAAACACAACACGAAAGAAAATAAGAAAGCTTTAAACAATGAAGAATTTAAAGATAAACTTGCGGAAATTGAAGACAGAAGCAGAAGAAATGATATACGATTTGATGGCTTTGAAGTGAAGGAAAGTGAAACGTGAGAGGAAAGCAAACTTAAAGTTAAAGTTTTTTTAAAAAAAAAGCTTGGCATGACGAACAAAGTATATATCGAGAGGGCTCACAGAACAGGAAAGAGGAATGAAGTTGGAATGAAAAAAACAAAGAAATATTATTGCAAAATTTTTAAATTATAAAGACAAAGAAAACGTTTTAAAAGAATACCGATTACTCAAATTATGGAACGAAAAAATAGTCTTGAATGAAGATTTTAGCAAAAGAACAAGAGATAAACGGAAACTTTTTTTTGCAAAAGTACCACCGGTAAGTATGCCGGTGTTCGAGCCAACGGTAAGTATGCTAAAGTAGTATACAATAAATTAGTTACACGCGAATTTTAAAAGAATTAATTTTTTTTATTTTAGGATTTCAAATAACTAAAACGGATTCAAACAAATCTGTTGATTTTCAATAAACTTTAATTAACTTATTTCAAACTAATGATTTTTTACTGGACAGCAATAAACCCTGACCTAAATTATTTTAATGGAGCTGGTGCTTTAAAAAACAAGTGCAGTTATTTGTATGTCTATGAATTAGAAAAATTTCTTGAACCGGATAAGTTGAATGTGATTCATATAAATATAAGAAGTTTGAAACTTTTCGTAATTTAATTGATGAAACTTTTAACATTTTTAGCGTAATTTGCTTAACAGAAACTTGGTGTGATTCTGATGACGTTTATTTTATTTCTAATTTTAACTTACCTGGATATAAATTGATTTCATTAGCGCGTAAAACTAATAAACGTGGTGGCGACGTGATTATTTACGTAAAGGAATGCTTGAAATTGTTAACCAGGCTTGATATGAGTATCTCTGATAGCAATAAAGAGGTTTTATCAATTGAATTAGTTATTAAAAAAGCTAAAAATATTATAATTAGTTGTTGTTATAGCCCACCATCTGGCTTAATTTAAAGTTTTACTTCATATTTGCATTATGACATAATTAAAAAAACCAATCATGAAAAGAAATTTAACTACTTAATAGGTGATTTAAATTTATGTTGCTTCGAATATCACGTAAAACCCAACATTAAAAGTTTTTATAATGACATTTTTGAAAATGGTGCGGTTCCACTAATCATCAAACCGACCAGAATAACTCAATCAACATCTTTTCTGATTGATAATATAATAACAACTGATTTATTTAACGAATCTCTTAAATAAGGCATAATTAAAAGTGACATTTCTGATCACTTTTGTTTTCTTTTCCATTAATATTAAAATGGAAACGTCACCAAATACAAATCAAATTTTTGTTAAACGTATTTTTAATGAAAAGAACTTGGAAACATTTAAAGAGCATTTGTCTCTTTTTCATTGGGGGCACATTTCCAATTTAGATGATGCTAACCTGACTTACAACAAATTTTTTTAAACTTTTTTTGATATATATGATGTTAATTTTCCAAAAATCAAAATACATTGTAAATTAAAAAGTATAAAATCCCCATGGATTACTAAAGGGTTAAAAAAATCATCCAAAATCAAACAAAAATTGTACATTAAATTCCTAAAACTAAAAACAGATAAAAGTAAAGCTATATATAAAAGTTACGCCAAACAATTCTAACGTCAAAGAAAAAATCTTAAAAAAAATTATTACAATGATTTACTAGCGAAATATAAATTAAATTCTAAGCGCACATGGGAAGTTATAAAAGAAATCACAGGCAGTTTTAAAATGAACACACTCACATTGCCTAAAAACATCAAATCAAATGATAAATTTTTGTATGATAAAGAAGAGATAGCTAACGAGCTGAATAAATATTTTGTTTCTGTTGGACCAAATTTATCCCAAAAAATTCCTCAAGCAATTAATCCAATAAGTAATCTATTATCCCTAATACATCACAATTTAATTCGTTTGAACTAACTTTTAAAGAGTTTGAATGCGCTTTTAAAATGCTAAAACCCAACAAATCAGCAGGTGCGGATGATATCAATGTAAA